TTTCAGTGCCACTTATTGACACATCTGATTTCATAGAACATTTCCCAATACCTTACACTTTCATTGTATTCGCTGTTTAGAAGTGCAGCACCTTCCAGAACACTCTGGTTTCTACTAAGGAGATTACTCTTCCTTCCACTACAATTAGCTCTTGTTTAAGCACTACGTTATTTTGCACGTAAAGTTCGTAATATCAGACATTTTCCTCTAGTCTTAATTGTATTTCTTGACTATTAGAACCACATATACAGAAATGCTAGCTTTCCCCTACTACTGAGTGATTCTGGATTCCTCTCGGACGGTTCTCGTGCTAAACTAGGCATTCCTGTTTATCACCATCGATCTGTGTTCACAGTGTTGACCCGTGAATTATTACCTTAACACGTTAGTAACGACGCTACTTGCTTGATAATTGAGGACTTTAAGAACTGGTAAAGGTCCTATTGCTTTAAAGATGTTTAGGAAAAAGATTAATAGGATGGAAAAATTTCAAAGTTTAACAATACTGTGGAAACCACCGATATCAAAGGCGCGAGCGTTGCTGTCAGAGAGACAAGAGTAGTCATGCACTACACAGGATTAGAATTTCTTCACCGTAGGATCAATGGTGTCATAATTTTTTGTCAAAAATCTGTGGATTCGCATTTCCTCTTTCAATACTAAAGTTCATTATGCACTATAATATTAAAGATAGAGGATAAAGCGCATAGCCATAATTCATTCCTTAGGAATCCATGAACCATTGGACTCGGTCATATTTTTTAGAGATAAGTGGACGCATATTTATCCCTACTTGCAAAGCCTGCTTATGTATCAAATGAATGTTGACATCTTCCCAGACTTGTCTGGTACTAATTTGTCTCGATCTTAAACGGGATTGGAGATTTGGTTAGAGGCGGAAGTTCTAGCCCTTGTACCTCTAACCAGTTTTCCTCTACTCTGTTCATTAATGACAACCATAAGGTGAGATACGTTTGTACATATTTGAAAAGTTAAACCATCTTTGTCTATCATTCTTCTTTACTACTACCATATATGCATTGAAATCAGTGCGAATCTTCATGAATTTATTAATATAGCGCAGCCTGCTTTAAAGGTCAGGTTCTTTGAAAGCGACAATTTTTCTGGAATAATAGTCCTACAAAGCTTATTATTTTCTGCCTACTCTTTTTAACGGCAAGGTATATTGCGAAATATAACTTCAATGATGCTGAGATATTTGCAAAACTCCGGACCGCAGATGTATGCGGTGGGGAACGAACGCGCTATTGTCCTTTCCGGGGACCCGCATGGTGTGATGGTGAACGCGTTACTCCCGGGAAAGGACGATAGCGCATTGGTTCCCCACCGCATTCACCTGCAGTCTGGAGTTTTTCAAATATATCAGCATCATTGAGGTTGTATTTCGCAATATAGTCTGCCGTTAAAAAGAGCAGTCAGAAAATAATAAGTTAAAATTGTGATTATAACTGCAGCCTCAGCTTAAGTGGGTTCGTTGCCGATTTGGGCCCACAGATCAATCCCGCTGATGGGTGATTGCTGAGGCAAAGATCGATAGAAGTAGCTGAGAGACAGGCGAAACGAAAGACCCGCGTGGTGTGGTGGTGAACGCGCTACTCCCCGGAAAGGACAATAGCGCGTTCGCTCCCCACCGCATACAGCTGCGGTCCGGAGTTTTGCAAATATCTCAGCATCATTGAAGTCCTACAAAGCGTTTGAAACATGTCTATCACACTTGCCTTCATGAGAGTAACATCTTCTCCAGCTTAGTGAATATACTGCACTGAAGGGCCCTTTTTTATCAACTTCTTTAACCAACTTTTTTCATTTGTAGCACAGAATTGTACCTGCCGAATACGAACACGACCGACAATTTAAATCGTCCACTTACGTTGTCAGTGATCACGCACTGGTCAACTCCTTCAGCTTCTGAACTATGTTTAATTCTTAGAATTATTGCTTTAATTTATTGCTAAGCATACATGAGTTTGTTATGAGAGCTTTACGTTTTAGCGTTTAAGTGGTTTCGCCATTATCGATGCCACGATTATTTCAGTTAAGTGTCCACAGTAGTTGTTCCTTTTCGGGTTGTTCGCCGTCACCGTTTCCGGCGAATCAAGTAAAATGGAGGACCGAACGACTGAAGTAGAATCTTCGACGCTGTCATCTCTGTACGAGACTCAGTGAGCGGAACTGATCTGATCTCGACGGCCAGTTCACAAAGACGGTGCTCGGTGGATTGGCGATCAAAATTACTTGTTGCTTTGGTGACGTTCCATCCTGCAACAGTTGGATTAGTATTAGCGAGCATATAGCGAGGCAGACTTACAGTTCCGATTTTTATTGAACCTCGGTATGGATAATCATTGGTTCGTTGTTTGATCAGTTTACACCTGATTGCTACAAATCTTTACTGTGGCTAACGTTTCGGCGGTTTCACGTTCTTCAGAGTGGTGATGGTTCAGTGAACCTTAAAATTTTCTTCAATGAGCTTTTCGCATGTGTTTGATCACTTCCACGGCCTTCCATAATGTAAATTGTTATGGGCCAGTTAGTTGTGGTGCTACGTAGCACCATCCGTAGTGACCAGTTACGGCTGTAAATGGGACCATAAGGAATCATAGAAAACACAGTTTGATTCAGATGACGATTTCATTCTCCCGCGTCCGATTCACTTATATCTTCTGCAGGATAGAATCATATAAATTTGAAATACATCTTATACGAGGCATGCTGCATCCACGTCCACCGAGTGGTCAATTCTAGCAGGACAGCTCATGTGCATTAATGGGACAAATGGCGCATTCGTTGATCCTTGCTCGAATTTAAGTATCATTAATAAGATAACAAGTGATACTTGCCAAATCATTTGTCAGTCTCTGAGTTTTGTTTATTTGTTCTTTTTTTTATTTCATGCGACCTACCTTCACGTCTACTGTGCGGATCCCAGCACTTCTCACATTCAATTCGCTTCCTCACATCTACCATGCGCTGAGATCTTCCAACTTTTATTTGTAACTTCGGCATCTGAGGGTTTTCATTTCATCTTGAATGTCGTGGAATGCTGGTCTAGTCTAGTTCTCACTGGAGTTTTGAGATAACCGGGCTGGAGCGTTTCCAGTTGTACTACAGGGAGAGATTTTTTTTCCGAAACGAGTCCGGCAGCAATTTCCCGACCCCGGAGGGATTAAAAGTTCGGGGATCCTAGAGCGGAATCGAACCAGGGCCGTGGTCGAGGTAACGGGCATCACTACCACAGTGCTATCCTGTTATTCCAAGGAGTTCCGTCTCAAATATTAAACATATACTGCCTTTGCTAGTGTTTCGTGTTTTATAAAAGAAAAAGGACAAAGCTGTAAGCGTTGATCAATCCCTGCGGGATGAGCGTTGAATTCGACTTCGTCGAACATCGTTAGAGGTGATTGAATGCATATCTGGCCTCTACAATGAGTTTCTGCGGCCTACCAATGTATGAGCCAGTGCTGCTATCTTTCCAGACAGGTCTGGTGCCAATTTGCTGACCCAGGAAGGATAGAAGTCTTGGCTAGTCTTAGGAAGCGTGATCGGACCCATCCCATGTGTATTGCAGGACACATCTTGCATTACACAGGCCCCTTTTTGCTTTATAAATAACACTGTTCTGTCTAAGCTTTTGTTACCTTCATAGGATGTCTTATTGAATTCAATGTTTAATTGTCTCAGAGGGGAAAAATTTGCAGTACAATCTGCATTGGTGGAGAAATCGCTTGGTGTTGGTGTCAGCGGATCTGTTATGATGTGTTCGAAACTCATCCTAAATGAAGCTTCTGGTGCCTGAGAAACACTTTGAATTATTATCGTTTCTCCGTGTTTTACAGTACTTTTGAATGCTGGGCGATTGCGAATGTTTGAATGAATGAAAAAAATTATTTAAATTTTATTTATTGAACTTATACTTCGAAGAAATATACTGATGGTTCATGTAGAACTTCCAGTCGGACTACGTATAACATAGAAGACACGTTACTGTATTGACCTCCGGTGAGTGTTGTTTTTAGAAAAATCATTAATATGAACACCTTACGAAACAAGACAATCAATATATCACTTTGTTTCTGACATTTCGTCTAAGAATGGCATGCGTGAAAGCAATATGTGGTTCACTTTTTTATCATCTTCTTCGTGTTGATACATTTGGTAGGTAGAGACTGTCGTTCTTTCCTCTCTATTTACACCTAAGTTTAGTATTCTCGTTGAATATGGGTATGTTTTCATATATACATAAATATATGTATAATATTTATGTATATTCATATATATGCCCATGAATACCTACGGACACATATATACATACATACGTAGACACAAAGACAAATATAAGTGAATAAAGAAATGCGTAGATAACTAAGCGCAATTTTTACTTGCGCTAGATCGCCAAGAGTGTTGTACTGATGAGTATTGCTTTTCCTCTATTCTCTTTAGTTGTTGTTTGTTCGTTTTTAATTTCAGGCTATTGTTTGGTACTTTTATCGTTGGGTAGTTAAATATACTACTCTTTTTTCATTGTCCTACTTAAGGAGAGAAGTTTTGACAGGGTTGAAAACTTGTATTTTTATATACAGGCGCATACGCCTAGGGATTTACATTTATGAAAGAAAGTAAAAAAAAGGCATACACTCTAACCTATGTTTACGTACGTACATATATATATATATATATATATATACATAGACTATAGACATATGTATGTGCTTTAGTACTTACATACAAAAGCACAAACGTCCTTTTCCACACTCATGTATGTACATATTGTCCTTCCTATACATGTTGGTGTCCCCTGGTGTATATAATGACTAGATTGATGCTTAATAAAGCATTTCTTTTAAATTTCTAAAAAAATTTAATATAGATGGGTAAATTCTGGATAAAGAAGTTTTATCAAATAGTTCCACATCTCTATTCACTTTAACTATATGGAAAATATTATGTGACAGACTCATCTAACCGGTGTCCTGAGGAAGCTATGCGACAGCTCTGAAGCTCTCCAAATAGTGTGCCACCCACTTCGGTCGGCAGATTGCGCATATGGATGAGTACATCATGATGACCTTGTCCTCGTGACTCGCGGCTATGTCGACAAAGTTGCTTATCGGCCGTCTAAATCAAAGCATCGTGAAGAGCTTGCCTCATTCTATTATCTATCGAAGAAGGACTAAGCCGCTGCTCTCAGCTTATGATGCGGTCGTCGTCGTCCAGAGTTGGCCGGCTGTTTGTTTTGTCATGATTCAACATGTGTTTATGCGAGGGCTGTGATGAGGGAGCACAGCGTATGATACTGTATCTCGATCATCGCGCAACGAACGGACGAGCCACTCAGACCAGCCAAGTATACTTATCCACTTACCATGTCATTAGTATCTTTGGGTCTTCTCTTCCTCATCCTACTCCTCCTCATATCACCCACACATCACCAGGTGTACGTTGGCGCGCGCGACAATACAACATCCCGTATAGATCGTCTTCTCATGGTAGTGCTTCATTCATCCTGCCTTTCTTCATTCGCATCTTGTCTCAACGTCTCACTCTCATCTCTTCTCTCCTCCTTTCGGCTTTCACCTTCTTTTGTCGTCGTCGTCTTTTTCTTCTTCTTTTTCCTCTTCTTTTTCTTCTTCCTCTCGTTCTTTCATTCCACCGCCACCACGACGACCACCACCGACTACCACACCTCTTGCTGCTCCTCCCTCCCCTATTGCGGGACACCACATGCTACATAGAGAATTTCTATGCACGCCGTCCCTATTTGCACTCCGCCTCTTACATGCACTCGTGTTAATCGCTCCGGTTATTTGACGCTACCAAATTTTCGGTCATCAGCAAAATTGAGAATTTCTTGCTGCTTTGGAATTTTTTAGCCTGTGCGTTTTTTTATCATTTCTAAAAATCACTATATGCGCTATTATTGAGTTTGTACAAGTTTTTCAACGTAAGTTATTAATTCGTTTCAAATTCAGAATTGAAGATTTTAGTAACGCAATGCAGATACTATGAAGTAGGTAGTGAAGTGCGTACAACACTTTGTGAAAACCTTTGAAAATCTGCACTCAACAGCAAATGATAGACATTCTACTTTAACGCAGTTAAGACAATCTGTGTATATTGATGAGACATTAAAAGGATGTTTTATGGGTATAGCAGCTGTATAAAGGATGATAAGCACTCTTTTTTTTAGCACTTTATGCATGTGGGGATGATGAAGATTTGTTTCTAAGCTGAATGACACGCTAATTTACGATATGTCATCTCATTCATATTCACATCATTCAGCTATTTTTGATTGCTACGGAACTCGCTTACTACAATACTTTCTTCGTACGTGGTAATGTCTGGCCGCGTCAGCCTATTTGACTTACTTAATCGCGAACGATCTCGTATATTGGGAACGGGGGAGAGGTCGCTTTGCTGATGATGCTTCCTTCGTTCGTCAGTCGGTCTCTATCCACCTTGTCATGCGTAGCACGTACTAAACCGACCATTAAACACAACCTCGGTTATGGTGTTCCTCAGTCTCTAAACCAATACGAATCGTTCATTCAGTTCAGGTTTCCAGTTTCCCGCGCTTCTGCATGATATTTAATTGTAATGTTTTCGGCAATCACAATTTCCTGTAGAGTTATATGAGGAGCATCGTTAGATGGCGTCGCTATAAGATCCTCTTTTGATTTCGTTTCGAGTATTTTGCCGCTCTGTTCCAGGTAGTTCAATATATTTTAGATTCTATGGAATTGAATTCCTGCCGTACCTGCGTAGTGCGACAAAAAATTAGATCTGTCATCAACTGTGAACATTAAGGATGGTGTATTCTGTAGCCCAATAGCTAGCGATATAAGCATTAATCGATGTTTGACTATGTTTTTTCATGCTGTATGTACTCCTTATCCTAATATTAATTGTTCTTATATTAATTCTAGTAGTAATGCCATTGATTTTGCCAAAACAGCTTAACGTTCATTATTATTGAGAGAGAAGCTGTACTTATGGTGCTCAGTTTAATGTTCTGTTTCGTTTCCTAAATGATCTCCTAACATGATCTTTAACGAAATGCAAGCCTATAATGTCATCGCATTCTTGCGTTAACTCACTTCATTGAAGTGTGACATATATTAACTCTTTTTTCCAAGTCGCGCAACCCTTCAGATTTAAATCATTTTTCTAGTGCTTGAAAAGGTCATACATGACCCTAATCATATCTCTCTGTCAATTTTTATGTTTCAATAATCACCCGTTCGAGATTCAACCTAAGTACGTTTAGTATTCGTTTCCTTCTCTTGCGTGTTCTGAGAGGCAAGCATTCATATTTTACTTTGCTAGTTAAAACCTATTTTTATTTTTCACTATATATATATATGTATTTTTTTTGGTAACTATAGCGAAACCATTGTAATGGTTGTTACTTTGTTGATACATGTTATGAGTGAAGCATGATATCCTTAGTATTGAACTAATACTGAACAAACTAAATTCTACGGGAAACTATGTTGCTTGAATGACAAGTAGGTGGGATAAGTGAAGAGGAAAAGGTCAATAGAATGTTTGGCCAACTTAGAAATAAAGTTTTCTATGTATTAGGAGAGTTTATAATTTTATCTAATTTTTCTATACTCCCCCGCTCCTCTTTCCAGAAAAAGGGTTACCGGCAATTATTACCTTTTTTTCATGAGTTTGAAGCACGGAAAAGGTAGTCGCTTATGGCTTCAGTGATTGACTGATTAACACATAGTTTAGGTTTCCTTGAGCCTTTTTGCATTGTTTATTCTTATTTTGAATTCTTATACAGTCATGTTTGTAAAAGGATTATTTTTTTCCTTTTTAACCACTACCACAATGCTTTTCATTCACGTAGGAAGCAGCTCTTTGATCAGTTCTACTGAAGTTTTTTCTTATAGCCTTAAGACGTAAATCAGTTGCATAGTAACAATACTGATAGGTTTGGTGTAAGTCATATTGTGAATCTCGCTGCTGATATGTAAATGAGCTGCGTATGGTACGCCCTAGGGAGGGGGGCGTGGTGTGGTGGCATTCGACGGAATCCGTAGTCAGACGTCGGCGTCGACATTGCGCAGTGTCCCGCTTGTCGTCTAGCTGGCTGAACTGTCTAACTTGTGCTCCTCTCACTGATTGTTTAAAAAATGCTGATTCAAATGTGTGTTAGCTTTCATCGCCGTGATTGTACCTCCGTCCTCCGTGTGCCTCTTTTCATCCCTGTGTGATAAATGACCGCTGATAACTCGCATATTCTCGTTCAGGCATCGACAACGATAAGGAGCAGAGCGAAAGCGAGTTCACGGCGCGCCCCATGCACCATCTCTGAGACCAAACTTTACAACGACGAGCCTCTCTGTCACTGCTTTGCCTTGATATGAACCACCAGCCGGTTGTTGTCAACTCGCTACTCTGCTTTATCCATAATTTTCGCGATAATCCGCAGGTTCGTAATCTTGTTGCTGAGTATTTTCCAAAAACAGCGATTGCGGAAGCGAAGAACATACTATGCTCAAAAGTAGCCGAGGAGGCGTCGTCGCCGGTACCTGAGGACGTGTTCGATCTTTACGATATGCTGGTGACGAGAGAGGAGCAAATGCAGTTTGCCGCCACCGATCTCACTATCCTGCCGTTGGCGCTGTTGTCGAAAGACGAAGATAAAAACGAAATTATGCGCGAACTGAAGACGTTACGCACTTTTATCTCGGATGCACTTGATGGCCGAATTGAGGATTCACCTCAGTCAAGGTACGCTCTATCCGAAGTCATTGTTTTACTACTCCAATTCGTATAGCAACTCAAGCGTATTCATTTAGAGAGACTCCTACACCAGTTGTGCGATGCAAGCTGAATACGTCTGCTTCGTCACCTGAGTTTCCTGTTGCTAATGCTCCGGTTTGTTTAATATTTAATCTGCCAGTATTACTAGTTTTTGATCGGAAGTATACGTGTATGTGCAATTCGCTTCATAGTTTCTTTCCTGTTTGGCCATTTTTTTCCATAAAATTGACAGTCTTTGTCACCGGATCTCTCAGGAGGAACCATAAAAGGAACTACTAAGTATTTTTAACTTTCTTTAATGGAAACTTTTCGTTATTTTGGTTAGTCACCATGTCCATGTATATTAAAGACTTTAGGAATGGTTCCCTCAAATTGGTTTGTTTTTAGACGAGCGTTCCATGTGAGAGCCCGAAACCGTTGCTGTCTTCATCGCTTGTAAACAACGTTTCGCAGCAATCCCTACAGTTAGCACTACAACGACGAACGGTTTCTAGTCCTGCAGATAGTCATCAGTCAACAGCAGGAGAGGTAAACGAATTCCATTCATTATGCGTCTCATTGCCAACGTACTTTTTTCATTCCGAATTTTTCACAGTGATCCAGTGTTTTTGGCTTATCAAACTACATTTCTATGCAGTGGTTTTTTTTTTCTTACAAAATGATCACTATGGTTCGTTCTTAATCCTTCAAGCGTATGCCGTTCTTTTCCGATTTGCCCAACAGTTCATTGTTTTCCGAGCGCCAATCGAATACTGTGTCCTTGTGCCGTGCTTAACATATCAGTTCATTATTTGATTACCGGGCTGTTGTGTTATCGATTTTCTAAGTGTAAGTAAGTGTACGCTAGTTGATCTTAGGCGGGTTCGGTGAAATATCGTTGCTTGTTGATGACTGGGTTTCTGCATTAACGACAACGTCAAATATGTGGCATGAGGAGGAACGAAAGAGGGATAAGAAAACCAAACCCTCAACGCGGGCAATGTTTTTTGCAATGGATCGTTTGTCGTTCGTACACGATGGTGAAAATTCAATTCATCAGTGATCTCAATGATGTCTGCCTGTGGTTTTCTGTGAAGAGAGAGAGATAGAGAATCATTATGATTCCGTGTAAAGGCGACTATTCGATGTGTCCTCCTCTAGTGTGATGTGATGATTCTGTTGTGCTTTTGGTATTCCTCCTACATATAGTGGTGAATGGGAAGAACGATTGTCTCTCGCTGATGCTTTTCCATTCTACATTATGAGCCTTCGAGGCGAGCCATCCACAAAACTCTCACGCCGTATTGATTGTTTATCGGAAGAGTGATTGCGGTTGGTTGGTGGTAGTGGTATATACTGGTAACACACACATACACATTAATATAAACGCCTATACTAGCAAGTGAAATTCAAATCGACGAACATCATCGTGCAGAATTTGAAGGGATGCAGCAACTTCCGTTTTATTCGTTTTTTCCTCCCTGTCTCTTTCTTTAACTTTTTTCTTTTCACTGCCAAGTGCTCTCTCTCTCCTCCTCTCTCTCTCTCTCGCTCCCACCCTAAATCCACACTGTCCTCCCCGATTTTGTAAATCGCGGCAATTGTTCTGCAGCAGAATATTTTCCACAAAGGAAAAAAAGTCGTGCTTTACACTCGAATAGCTTAGTTTTGATCACATGAGTAAATTCCCTACGATGATCTTCTGGAAAATTTAGGTACAGTTAGTGAATTGGTAATGATTCCCCACCTTAATTATCAACACTTCAATAAACTATTGTTTCAGAATGCAAAACGGAAAGCTGGACGAAGTTTAGATGACACTGTGCGGAAATTGAGTGAGAAAAGGAAGGCCGAACTTGAAGAGCAACCGCCGCTGCCGACCGTTGCCCCATACCAAGCTCCATCGCTCGATCCACAATCCTACTTGAATATGATTCGGATAATGCAGACACCACAATCGTCGATTTTCAGCAATGTCATGAATCAAATGTGAGCCGTTTTTGAATATCATTAAGTCTTTATCGTTAAGGTTCTTCCTAGAATTTTTCACATATTCACATACTGCAGAGCTGCCTTTGTGGCATATTACTTCTTTTATTTTCTCTGAAATTCGATCGTGCTTTTTAAGGAATTATTTTCGAGCAAGCTGACATATAATGCACTCTCTGTTTAATAATATTACACTCGATGAAATGAGTGTTGTACGTATTTCGGTTGACATTTGCTAAGGAGTGCGTGCTCCTTGCCTTTTCACTCGAAGAGAATGCTGAGTCATGTATATTGAATAGCATAAAACCCTTCCATATGTGGACGGACGGCACGGGAGAACGATGCATCGAGAGCATGACGACTGACGACGCATGTGAAGCGATTTCTGAGGTCAATGATGGCATCAGATTGGATGGGTAGTGACACGGACTGATGACAGTTTACTGGATACTTACCCGGTAGTATCAACGGGTTGTATGCGGCTGGTTGCGGTTACCGTATTCCATAGCAACCAGCAGCGGCGGAACGAGAGCAAGGCGTGTTTGTCAAGTGATACGGTGTCGCGCCTCTCTCCTCTCACCTCGCGAGTTCATTGGCTTGTAGTTGTAAAGTAGTTCGGCATCTCTCACCACACATCTTGACCGGTACCACGAGGAAAGAGAGGTGTTCGTCGTGGGGATCGCCGTACAATACAGGACTCTATCACTTCCTATGAGCAATATTTCAATTTCTTGCTACAGAAATCAGCAAGTCGTGGATAAGTCCGGTTTGTGGGAACCAAAAAAAGAAGAAGAAGATAAAACTCGCCAAGGGAGCATAGTCTGTGTGCTTCCTCGCATGATTGTGATACACACGGCTTTTGGCGCAGACTATAGCCGCTTCTTCACGTTCCACCTGTGTCGCCTTGTTCTGACTTCGGCATGGGGCTTATTCATAATCGGCACCTAACAACACCAATGGAATTCGATTTTCTAAATAACACTATAGTTGGCACTTATATTCGATAGTATCTTACCATAAATAAAGCTTTATCGAACAGTGGAATCGATTTGTTTTCAGAATTTAAATCTTGTTTCGGGATTGAGGCAATGATTCCCCTAGTAAAACTCCCTGGAAAATCTTCTTTCTTATGTACGAAAATAAGGTTTTCTTCTCCATTATTATTTTGGTATTTTCTAAAGTGATTTTCGCTGGTATGTTTACGTTTTCTACAGAATAAGGAATAAAGATGTTACTACAGGAATCACTAAATTCATGTGGCGAGTTTACCACACTAGGTAATGTGTTAGATTTTTACGTCTTTGGGATGTAGCTTCGGCTGCAACGAAGTCCTCTCATCTAATGAAGGCAGTGTCATTCATTCACTCGGATTATCGAGATGATAAATCAACCTTGTTGGGAGATGTGATTCCGGTTTGTTCGCACCTCATGCAATTCATCACCTATTGGCAGTCGTCTTCCTCTCCAAGTACATATGCACATACTGCGACAATCGATTCCATAGCAAATGCTCTTTGAATATTATCACCTCGTTGTCTGGAGAACGGAATTGCAAGCACGTTTCAGTATTTTTTTTTCGCGAATACCGTTGTAGCTTTTTTTTAAAGTGCTCCTTGACATATTGGTTCATGCAAAGAGGACGAGAGAAGAGTAAAGGGGAAGGAAATCATTCCTACACAAATAGATGAGTGCTTTATCGTCTTTGAAGGGAAAATTACTGGACGGCATGAAGTCTGCAACACGAGGGAAGGAGATTAGGGCTAGAGTGAATCTAATGGCCTCTATCACTTTCATTTCCTAGTTGAACTGATTTATACAGCATACAGTAGCCGGTGTATTCATTTCTACTTATTGCATGTCATGCATGACTCAGTTCAGTTGCGAGGTCTTTTGTGTCCTCCAATATGATAGCGAACAAATTTCATTGTCTCATCTTGTTTGCTTTGAAGAGAGTTCCTAGACATTCTTTCAATGATAATTTTACGTTTAAGCTATTATCGTGAAAAGAATATGTGGGTCTCACGTGAGATGCTGTTGCGAGAGTTTCTGTGGATGTATCAGGATGGTTGATTACCGCTGATTCCAAAGAAAATCATATGTTTAGTATCTACTAGTAGTTGATTCTCATCGCTAAGACTTCGTATTCATTCGCACTTTCTGTTGGTGACTGTCTCCATGTTTTGGGGGGAAAAAGCGAGCGAATACACACCGCCTTGGTATGAGGAATTTGTTGACACGCACACGAACCTGATTGATAACGATTTGTCTAATGACTCTCGGAACCTCGGTCGAAAAGGAGAACGAGATAGAGGACGACTGAGAGAGTTCGCAAAATGATGAGAGACGGTGCGCTTGTCATAGAGGAGGTGGGTGGGTGACCGAAAGAGGAAAGGAGAAGAAGAAGGGAGACGGATGAAGTGAGTGAAACCCGCTCGCTCTCATTGGTGGTGGTGGTGGTGGTTGGTGCGCAGACGACGCACACTGAGTGGTGGGAGCCAGATCGCGCGCAATAGAATCGAGTCGAGGCAATCGACATGCTTATATTGATCAATTATCTAAGAACAAGAAAAGGGATGAAACGAAACGAAAGCAATTGGTGGTAGAATGTCGTTAGACCGATAATGAAGACTGACTTTTACATTTGATGGACCGTAACAGATCAACGTTGAAAGCGGACCGGAAGAAATCTTATGCGCGCTTAGAGTACTATTGAGAAAAAAAAGACATGTGTTGTAAGCGCTTAGTTAATCTAGGCTTCTTTTCCCAAAATTAACAAGGACACTTTATCAGTTTTGCTAGCTGATACAGCGATATGCTGGTTTGATGTGATGATGCTCAATTAAGATGAACGTACGCATTTATACCATGAATGATTGAATAGACAGAAAAATGTCTTTTGGATGCACATGTATTCTTTTGTAGGCAATTCCTTGTCACATCCTGCATCGGCGTTTTTGATGTATGTATCTTGTCATCATAGGTGGTGTTTTTTAGAAGAATGAATGGTCAGATGGAATGTGACAATTTCGAGGACCGTGCGGACGACTTGGTAGATGATGGCGACAGTTCGCCATCACCCTCGGAAGATACAAGATATGATTTTTCGTTAACTGAGATGAGCTTTGATAACGACTCAGGTATATAATTTTCGTATATTCGGAGGTTTTACAGCAATTCAAACCTCATAAGACGATTTTGTTTTCCGAAACTCACTAGTAAACAGCAACATCAAACGTAAATTGGGAAAGACAAGTCATGCATGGCTATTTTTAATGTGAATCTCTGTGTTTGTTCATTTGTGTGGGTGTGAGTGTGGATGTGAGTTCATTGCGTAAAATCGCTCCAAGTCTGTTGAAATGTAGGTGTACAGGGGTGCGATTTCAATCTATCGGCGGTGGACCTCTCTAGGTGAGATGTTATCACAGGGAGTGGATGAGGGCATGGGAGGTCATCCGCTCCGCTCTCTGTCATCAATCTCTCCCACATGCATAGACCGAGAGAATACCCCAGGAGAATGAGAGCGGGATAGGTAGGGAGTGACGGCCTTGAAGTGCTAAAGAGGTAAATAACTACAGTAGCGGAATGTGGAAGTCTACATTCCTTTAACCTCATTTTTGCACTACTACCACGGAATTCAGAGTGTATACTATCATAAAATGTAAATCACAGCAAAAATACCGGAGACGTACAAAATTGACTTTAGAACATCAAAAATGTCTTCGGGGCCTCCGGAAATTAGTAACGACATTTTATTGTTTCATATCATATGAAATATAATTTGTTCACATAAACTGTGAGTGTTATCTTTAGAACTCGACCTGAATAATTCAATTACAGTTTTTTATTTAAATATGGTTGTATCGTTGCTTTACTGAATGTATAAGGGCAGCAGTATGATAAGGCTTCCTATTGCTACTTATCTTTACATACATACACACATCAATGTATATTTATATGTATATACATATTATCGTAGGGTATATATATATATATATATATATATATATATATGTATGTACGGACGCATTTTATGTATATATATATATATATACATATGTATACGTATATATATATATATATATATATACATATATAAATTTTAGACAAGCCATTCATCTGTGAGCATGCCAATTGCCATAAAAGATTTGCGAACAAGTTCTTATTGAAGAAGCACCAGTTCATTCATACGGGACTTCGGCCACACACTTGTCCTTATTGCAGTAAAAGGTAAGCATTTCTTTACACTGCATTACGAAACATTTGAAAAGCATAACGCTAACAACGAATTGTATCCGATTGCTGATAACAATACTGAATGAGTTTCTAGTATCTGAGATAGCAAACTTATCACTAGCGAATTTATGTGCTTTGTTGTCTTTCTTCCAATTTTATATTTCTAGCCTGATTAATCCATAAGCTCGAGAAAGGTTTTCGATCTCGCACAAAACAAACTTAATTGATGCAGTTAAAACTTAGAGAAAGTGTAACTGACTAATGGTTTGACGTTAAATGTTATCTCCACAAAGTCTACAAAACCCTTTTTAAGCGTAGGCACAGTAGTTTTCTGAGTTCAGAACGTAGTATTTTGTTAATAATGAGAATCCAGTTTTTCATTTAGGTTCAATCGGAAAGATAATTTGTTGCGGCATAAAAAGACGCATTTACAAACAAGCACTGTCGAGGATCGACGAAGTCTTCCTGAAGCATTTCCAGGCCTGTTTCCTGCCTTTGGTAACAATCTTGCCCTTGATCTGAAAATGGAAGGTTTGGACGCTATCAAATTTGAAGGTCTTGACGCATTTAGACTTGAAAATAATGGCGACTAGTGTGTTTACGAGACAGGCTGATGTTCTATATTGATAATAGTTTTCTTCACAGATATCAAATGTCCCAGTAATCTATGAGGATTTCATCCGATTTTTTTATTAATATTACATATTTTAAGGCGGTTGCTAATGTTTAAATAAGCGTCATTTCTTTTTCTTTCGCCAAAGTAAGTTAGTA